GTGGAAGGGATGATAGAGACCTATATACCGTATGATAGGCTGTATAGGCTGGTATGACAGGCTGCTACGGGCTCACCATAGCCCGTGCTACATGGACATTTCGTTCTCAGTAGATAAATCTAAAACAACAACATGTATAGGCTTACATTACGGGCTCACCATAGCCCGTGCTACATGAAACTTCTGTTCCGAGGAGCTGAATCTAAAAACAACATCAACAACATGTAGGCTTACATAACTCACGATGTATGTAGTGGGCCTACATCAAGCTTGACTATAGTTGTAAACCTACATAATTCGTAACGGGGAAGACCAGTGTTGTAGGCCTACATGGCGTGGAGACCAGTTATAAGAGCAGATCAAACAAGACACGTGACAGGTAAACCCAACATGAACAACACACGAGGCTGGAAATCCTCACAGTCTGGTAATGTGACAACATGTGACGAGTCATAAACATCGTCCTTCCGGCGTCGTCAGCTGGACGAGGCTTTCCTGGAGACGGACTCGCGCGGCCGCACACATTACCACTTTACAAATAAGGTCAGCGGAAGGAGCGACCTTCACGCATTGGTATAACCAGAGCGAGTGCGAGCACCGAGGAACCTATAGCCTGCTTGACACCTGCTTGACACCTGCTTGATGGGGTTCTGGGAGTTCTTCTACTCCCCAAGCCCGGCCCGAGGCCAGGCTTGACTTGTGAGAGTTTGGTCCACCAGGCTGTTGCTTGGAGCGGCCCACAGGCCCTACATACCCACCACAGCCGTGCGCCACAATGGCTTCCTCACTCCATGGTTGCTCATTTGTGCTTACGGCTGTACACCTGTTTACTCCAATCACAACCCGGGTTTGCAATCAAATATCAATATTTCCCGGATAAGGATTCTTGTTTCGTGGATAAATCTTACAGTTATGTATTCAGTATCTAATAGCAAAGGGCCCTGATTTGCCTAGTTCACTCCTTCCACAGGCTAGCCACTCCTCCCATGGAGTCCAGGTCCGAGGCTCCGTGTTGTCATGAAGGGTAGACCATACAGACATACTCCTACACTTGTGTTTAGGTGATGGTGTACAGGTGTGGAGGTAAACACGCGTCACTGGTATCCTGTAACCAGTTTACCCCTCGAGCACATGCACGCCAGAGGCAGGATGACGACACAAACAAAGTTAAGGGTAAACCTTGGCGTCCGTCAACAAGCGTGTCGTCGGGTCGTGTACTTGACCACACTCAAGGCTCTCTTAATTGCTCCATCTCTCAACTCTCACAAGTCAAGATTTATGCCTGGTAATGACACGCGGATAACGAGTCGTTGACAGGTGTGTGACAGGTCCAAAACAACAGCTGAGGTTAAGATCCCAGCTTGAGCGCTCCAGCTAATTAAAAGTATTATTTAGTAAACTACAATTAATGCATTAAGAAATCGTATAATGAAAAGAATCAGAATCTAATAATATTGTAATATTGACTTCAGTGACGACAATCAGGTTTGTTTTTCTCGCTAGAGTGAATGTAAAGTGAAGATGTTCTCTATACACAATGTATTCCTGGTGAATGTTGTGTATAGTGACAATCATGGGAGTGAAGATCCGGGTCTAGAAATTGTACAGATCGTGTCTAGATTTATTGAAATAGTAGAGAAAGGGGGGTGGGGGGTGTTAGGGAGGGGGGGGTGGAGGGTTCTGGTGTGTGGGGTCTAAGGGAGGGCCTTTCCTGAGGGCCTGGGAGGGCCGTCCCTTGTTGAACAAATCCACAAGGGCCGTGACGAGGATTCGAACCTGCGTCCGAGAGCATCCCAGACGCTGCCTTAATCGACTGAGCTACGACATGGCCGCCCCTTGTTCTTTAATCCCTAAACGGCTCAGCTGTTTAAAAGTTAAAAGTACTACATGGAGGTACACATATGACTAAAAATGTTTTAGCTAATTAAATGGGAAAATATCTTATATAGCGACTGGATGATTGTAAGGGTTAACCTGGCTGGCAAGACTTAGTACCTCTGGTAGCGTGATCTGAGAACAACGTATTTTAAACCAGATTAACTTAGAGGTCAAATAAGTGAATGATAGAATGGTCAGCTTTTGTTGAGAAACGTCAGCTTTTGTTGTTTAAAATAGTGGTGTGTGGTTTGCTTTGGTCATAATAACAGATTATGTGATTAATTACATGTAGTAATCATACGTATATGTAATTAATCACTTAAAGATTTTGATTTTACTGAATGTAAATTGCATCATTGTTCCATGTTTATTTAATATATAAATAACAGGGATTTTTTCCCCAAAACTCTTTAATAAACACCTTGATTAACATGCCTACAGAGACGCCACCAGTCACTTGGCTGTTGTTATCCGGGTCCGGCGTTCGAGGTAAAAGCTATAACAGAAGAGGTGTTAATGAGGTGGCATCTACGTCACAGCAAAAAGTAACACGGAACATTGCACATACAAATTAAATGTTTGGTTTCTGAGAAGAACTGGATATATATGGTTGGGAGGCGAGGTTGTTTGTGTATATTACTCCGGGACACTCACTGGATTGTTCAAGTTTGTTCATTGGGTTTGTTGTGCACCCCATACTCACCCTGGGAGTGGTGGTTTGTTGTGCACCCCATACTCATCCTGGGAGTGGTGGTTTGTTGTGCACCCCATACTCATCCAGGGTATGGTGGTTTGTTGTGCACCCCATACTCATCCTGGGAGTGGTGGTTTATTGTGCACCCCATACTCATCCAGGGTATGGTGGTTTGTTGTGCACCCCATACTCATCCAGGGTATGGTGGTTTGTTGTGCACCCCATACTCATCCTGGGAACGGTGGTTTGTTGTGCACCCCATACTCATCCAGGGTATGGTGGTTTGTTGTGCACCCCATACTCATCCTGGGTATGGTGGTTTGTTGTGCACCCCATACTCATCCTGGGAACGGTGGTTTGTTGTGCACCCCATACTCATCCAGGGTATGGTGGTTTGTTGTGCACCCCATACTCATCCTGGGAACGGTGGTTTGTTGTGCACCCCATACTCATCCAGGGTATGGTGGTTTGTTGTGCACCCCATACTCATCCTGGGTATGGTGGTTTGTTGTGCACCCCATACTCATCCTGGGAGTGGTGGTTTATTGTGCACCCCATACTCATCCTGGGAGTGGTGGTTTATTGTGCACCCCATACTCATCCAGGGTATGGTGGTTTGTTGTGCACCCCATACTCATCCTGGGAGTGGTGGTTTATTGTGCACCCCATACTCATCCTGGGAGTGGTGGTTTATTGTGCACCCCATACTCATCCTGGGAGTGGTGGTTTGTTGTGCACCCCATACTCACCCTGGGAGTGGTGGTTTGTTGTGCACCCCATACTCACCCTGGGAGTGGTGGTTTGTTGTGCACCCCATACTCATCCAGGGTATGGTGGTTTGTTGTGCACCCCATACTCATCCTGGGTATGGTGGTTTGTTGTGCACCCCATACTCATCCTGGGAACGGTGGTTTGTTGTGCACCCCATACTCATCCAGGGTATGGTGGTTTGTTGTGCACCCCATACTCATCCTGGGAACGGTGGTTTGTTGTGCACCCCATACTCATCCAGGGTATGGTGGTTTGTTGTGCACCCCATACTCATCCTGGGTATGGTGGTTTGTTGTGCACCCCATACTCATCCTGGGAGTGGTGGTTTATTGTGCACCCCATACTCATCCTGGGAGTGGTGGTTTATTGTGCACCCCATACTCATCCAGGGTATGGTGGTTTGTTGTGCACCCCATACTCATCCTGGGAGTGGTGGTTTATTGTGCACCCCATACTCATCCTGGGAGTGGTGGTTTATTGTGCACCCCATACTCATCCTGGGAGTGGTGGTTTGTTGTGCACCCCATACTCACCCTGGGAGTGGTGGTTTGTTGTGCACCCCATACTCATCCAGGGTATGGTGGTTTGTTGTGCACCCCATACTCATCCTGGTAGGATGTCTATGAGAATAATAATTGGGTTGTGACGTTTTGAAACTTGTAAATTGTTAAATGTAAACAAAGCCGCTATGATTGATGAAAGATGTACAGGTTTCGTAAGTGAACGTTTGTAAATACTTGATGATTTCTGGCCCTTGGCAGCTGCAGCTAAGCAGCTCTTGATTTTCCACGATGTACAAAATACAGAGTCAGGTGAGAGGTAAATACACACAAGATCAAGCTTGGCTGTGTTACGTTTGGCTGTGTTATGCTTGGCTGCGTCAAGCTTGGCTGCGTCAAGCTTGGCTGCGTCAAGCTTGGCTGTGTTATACTTGGCTGCGTTACACTTGACTGGGTTACGCAGGTGGCCTCAGTGCCGGGCTGGCACTCCTAAACGAGCGTGTTAATTGTGTGTTATTAGGGGATAATGACGAGAAAGTGATGTGCAGAGCTCACCGTGGCGGGTGTCTCAGCATCATGTGAACCTTGCCCAAGCTGTTGACACTTGTTGCGCTCGGCCCTGGAGTCATGAAGCCTTCACGCAACCACATACGAAACCTGTAGATCTTTCCTTAATCCTGGCGGCTTTGCTGGTTACTTTTAGTAAACAGTTTACGAGGCTCAAAAACTTCACAACCTAAAGCTATTATTGTTAGAAATAGCTTATTAGTGCCAGTGGGTGGTGGTGAGTGCCAGTGGGTGGTGGTGAGTGCCAGTGGGTGGTGGTGAGCACCAGTGGATGGTGGTGAGTGCCAGTGGGTGGTGGTGAGTGCCAGTGGGTGGCGGTGAGTGCCAGTGGGTGGTGGTGAGTGCCAGTGGGTGGAGGCGAACACGTCACAGACCATAGCCATGAGCGGCACCAGCGGCACTCTCCCCAAAATTCCTGGCCACATTCCTTACTGCTCCAACGAATTCCGCGAGACCATTTGTCTTCCAAATATGGCCGTTTTTAAAGCTTAAAAGACGTGACCCAGATCCTGGCCTTCCTGCGCAGTCGACAACCATCCCGACCATCCATGCGATCATCCGTGTAACCATCCTTGTGACCATCCGTGTGACTATCCGACCATCCGTGTGACTATCCATGTGACCATCCGTGTGACTATCCGACCATCCGTGTGACTATCCATGTGACCATCCGTGCGACCATCCATGCGACCATCTGTACAACCATCCGTGCGACCATCCGTGTGACTATCCATGCAACCATCCGTGCGACCATCCATGCAACCATCCGTGCGACCATCCGTGCGACCATCCATGCAACCATCCGTGCGACCATCCCGGCGACCATCCGTGTAACCATCCGTGCGACCATCCGTGCGACCATCCGTGTAACCATCCGTGCGACCATCCGTGCGACCATCCGTGTAACCATCCGTGCGACCATCCGTACGACCATCCATGCAACCATCCGTGCGACCATCCCGGCGACCATCCGTGTAACCATCCGTGCGACCATCCGTGTAACCATCCGTGCGACCATCCGTGTAACCATCCGTGCGACCATCCGTGCGACCATCCATGCAACCATCCGTGCGACCATCCGTGTAACCATCCGTGCGACCATCCGTGCGACCATCCGTGCGACCATCCATGCAACCATCCGTGCGACCATCCGTGCGACCATCCGTGCGACCATCCGTGTGACCATCCGTGCGACCATCCGTGCGACCATCCATGCGATTATCCGTGCGACCATCCATGCGATTATCCGTGCGACCATCCGTGTGACCATCCGTGCGACCATCCGTGCGACCATCCGTGCGACCATCCGTGCGACCATCCATGCGATTATCCGTGCGACCATCCATGCGATTATCCGTGAGACCATCCATGCGACCATCCGTGCGACCATCCCGGCGACCATCCGTGCGACCATCCGTGCGACCATCCTGGTGACCATCCGTGCAACCATCCATGTGACCATCTGTGCAACCATCCATGCGACCACCATATTTTTTTTTTTTTAATTTTGCGTGGAATTTATAACTAAAAACGGTGTTATTTTCTGCTTTCCAATCGAACCATTTTTCGCTAGGTAAAGTAAGGATACGATAAGTTGGATTAGGTTGTTTTTTTGGATTAGATTGGGATGGGTTGGATTGGGATGAGTTGGATTGGGATGAGTTATATTGAGTGTGTTTAAAGAGTATCGATGTCGTAAAGGGGTACATACTTTTATCGAGTGGAGTGTTAGACCTCACTCGATAAGTCTTAAGTCTAAACCTTTACATGACTACTAATTACTTGTATTGACCGTTAACAACTAATTTGGATTGTTTACGTTGTCAAGCATAGACCTGAGGTATGATAAGCACCGCTTATCTCAACTATCAATTAGGTGCATCTAATTTTAGATAATATGCCTCCTCGAACTATCGTTAATCAAACTAAATTATCTTAGACTTTTGTTGAGCTGGTTAGACGCTGATGGAGAGATGAGCCTTGTGGGGGGTAGATGTTTATTATGGGGGGTGGGGGGTATTGTGTGGTGGGGGAGAGGAGAGGTATTGTGTGGTGGGGGAGAGGTGTGGTATTGTGTGGTGGGGGAGAGGTGTGGTATTGTGTGGTGGGGGAGAGGTGTGGTATTGTGTGGTGGGGGAGAGGAGAGGTATTGTGTGGTGGGGGAGAGGTGTGGTATTGTGTGGTGGGGGAGAGGTGTGGTATTGTGTGGGGGGGGAGAGGAGAGGTATTGTGTGGTGGGGGAGAGGAGTGGTATTATGTGGTGGGGGAGAGGTGTGGTATTGTGTGGTGGGGGAGAGGTGTGGTATTATGTGGTGGGGGAGAGGTGTGGTATTGTGTGGTGGGGGAGAGGAGAGGTATTGTGTGGTGGGGGAGAGGTGTGGTATTGTGTGGTGGGGGAGAGGAGATTTATTGTGTGGTGGGGGAGAGGTGTGGTATTGTGTGGTGGGGGAGAGGTGTGGTATTATGTGGTGGGGAGAGGTGTGGTATTATGTGGTGGGGGAGAGGTGTGGTATTGTGTGGTGGGGGAGAGGAGAGGTATTATGTGGTGGGGGAGAGGAGAGGTATTGTGTGGTGGGGGAGAGGTGTGGTATTGTGTGGTGGGGAGAGGTGTGGTATTGTGTGGTGGGGGAGAGGTGTGGTATTGTGTGGTGGGGGAGAGGAGAGGTATTGTGTGGTGGGGGAGAGGAGAGGTATTGTGTGGTGGGGGGAGAGGTGGGGTATTGTGTGGTGGGGGAGAGGTGTGGTATTGTGTGGTGGGGGAGAGGAGAGGTATTGTGTGGTGGGGGAGAGGAGAGGTATTGTGTGGTGGGGGAGAGGTGTGGTAATGTGTGGTGGGGGAGAGGTGTGGTGTTGTGTGGTGGGGGAGAGGAGAGGTATTGTGTGGTGGGGGAGAGGAGAGGTATTGTGTGGTGGGGGAGAGGAGAGGTATTGTGTGGTGGGGGAGAGGAGAGGTATTGTGTGGTGGGGGAGAGGAGAGGTATTGTGTGGTGGGGGAGAGGTGGGGTATTGTGTGGTGGGGGAGAGGTGTGGTATTGTGTGGTGGGGGAGAGGAGAGGTATTGTGTGGGGGGGAGAGGAGAGGTATTGTGTGGTGGGGGAGAGGAGAGGTATTGTGTGGTGGGGGAGAGGAGAGGTAATGTGTGGTGGGGGAGAGGAGAGGTATTGTGTGGTGGGGGAGAGGAGAGGTATTGTGTGGTGGGGGAGAGGAGAGGTAATGTGTGGTGGGGGAGAGGTGTGGTAATGTGTGGTGGGGGAGAGGTGTGGTAATGTGTGGTGGGGGAGAAGAAGGGAAGCTGCAGGTTATATCAGACAATGACAGCAATATAAGTGTGGCAGATAATTTAATTAGCAGGAAATCCTGCGTTTGAACACTGTAAACGACATTCCACTTAAGTTTTTTTTATTATTATTTACAAACACATGGTAGCCATCTTGAGAGTGTCAAACACGACGTAGCCATCTTGAGGAAGTGTCAAACACGACGTAGCCATCTTGAGAGTGTCAAACACATGGTAGCCATCTTGAGAGTGTCAAACACATGGTAGCCATCTTGAGAGTGTCAAACACGACGTAGCCATCTTGAGAGTGTCAAACACGACGTAGCCATCTTGAGAGTGTCAAACACGACGTAGACATCTTGAGAGTGTCAAACACGACGTAGCCATCTTGAGAGTGTCAAACATGACGTAGACATCTTGAGAGTGTCAAACACGACGTAGCCATCTTGAGAGTGTCAAACACGACGTAGCCATCTTGAGAGTGTCAAACATGACGTAGACATCTTGAGAGTGTCAAACATGACGTAGACATCTTGAGGAAGTGTCAAACATGACGTAGCCATCTTGAGGAAGTGTCAAACATGACGTAGCCATCTTGAGGAAGTGTCAAACATGACGTAGACATCTTGAGAGTGTCAAACACGACGTAGACATCTTGAGGAAGTGTCAAACATGACGTAGCCATCTTGAGGAAGTGTCAA